TCCAGCAGTCGCACCCGATTCGGCTGGATGAGCCCCGACGCGAGGAGCTCCGGGAGGATCTTGGGCATCAGGTTGTCCTTCAGGTACGCGTTCTGGAAGCACACATCAGAGACCCGCGGCTCGTTGACACAGCAGAAAAACCACAACGCACCTCCGCGTACGTGAACGTCCGCACGTACTTGAGCGTCACGGAGGCAGGGAACGGATTGCGCTCCGCGGGGAGCTCCCAGTGCATCGGCGCCGCGCCCACGGCGACGGTGTCGCCCGCCTTGATCGGGAGCAGCAGCGCGAGCGTGCCCTGTGCGCTCAGCACCTCGGCGATGCGTGCGAGGGTGCCTTCCGCGGTGATTGCGTCGAGCGCGAGCGCGACTTTGCCGTCGCCACCGACGGCGCGGGCGACGTCCGCGGTGAGGGTCGCGCTGGCGTAGTCGAAGACGTGCGTGGCCCCGAGGGCGCGCAGGAAGGCGTGGTGCTTGGGCGAGGCGGTGGCGAGGACGTTGGTGTAGCCGGCGGCGTGCAGCAGCTGGAGGGCGTATTGGCCGGTGGTGGAGCCGGCGCCGTACACGAGGATGGGGATGGCGTGGTTGGGCGGTGGGGTGGGTGCGGGGAAGGCGGTGGGGACGGGCAGGGAAAGCTGGTCGAAGAGCGTGTAGAAGGATGTGATAAAGTTGTCGGGGACCGTGGCAGCACTCTCGAGGGCGATGCTGTCGGGAACCTGTCGAACGTCGGATGTGACTATGGCGCATAAAACAGCTCGTGTGTCCCCACCTTTGCGCACTGAAAGGTGGGCAAGATCACAAACTCTTGCATTGTCCCCTTGGGGCCATCCTTGCGGCCTTGGCCGTAGGGCTGGAAAGCCGTCACCTACAAGGAAACAATGTCAGGTCCTGAAATTAGGCAGTCGCTGACTTTTCCGCATACCCGATCGCCCACTGCTAGTGATTCGACCCCCGAGCCAATCTCGGCTACAGTCCCGGCCGCGTTGATCCCCAAGATAACGGGGTATTCCACGACGACAAGACCAACGTCGGTGATGTAGGTGTCGAAAGCCACCATTGAGGCGTACGCGACTTTGAGCAGGACCTCTCCCGGGCCGGGCTTCTCTGTTGCGACTTGGATGGCATCGAACTGTCCTTTCGCAGTACTAGCAATCGCAGTGTGTGTGGTCATCTTGCGAGAGAATGGTAGGCGATTGACTCGGAGAGAGTTGCATTTAAACGACGAATAAACTCCAAGCGATCGAAGATTGAGTCCAAGTCAGCGTGAAGTCAGCGTCAAGCGAGGATGAGTAAGACAGGTGCGGATTCGTAATGCATGGAAAAATCATTATGAATTAGGGTTAGTTCGAGGTGGCCCGCAAATGTTAGAGGATAGATATACGGTTGCGTTGGCAATCCGCTTTGTAGATGGGGTTGCGCTGGCCCACAAAGTGATCGAATACGGCCGAATGTCAGAGCGCATGGTTGCGCTTGCGTTCCTAGCGCCCAAGAAATTGTCCGGAGGTCTCAGACTCGGATCTCATTAGTAGGTTGCGATGGGGTCAGCGCCAGGACCTAGGTTTCTTTCGAGAAGTTCGGACAAGCCATGGTGAAACCGAGTCAGAGAATTCAGTATCATGTTCACTGGAGCCAGATCTCTTGTGACGAGTCCTAGCCCACTCCAGACTCCAAGTCGAAGGAATATCCTTTTGAAAACGGCGTTGTGGAAGCAAGAAGCAAAGGCTGCAATTGCAGCCGATACCGTCCATTGGAAACACGAGCCAACACCTTCTTGCCTGGAGCGATATGAGCCGAATTGCCCCGAATCTTGTGTACCTCACCATCTACAATCCTACTCTTCGCCCCAGCGGTCCAATTGCCCCCGACGATGAGGATGCAGAGGAACAGGCCCATATCTTATTTTACACATCCAAGGAACGCGCCGTCTCACGCGACCGAATGCTTCGGCAGGTTGGACTGGCCAAGGCTCTCATCAGCTTCTCCGAGTCAGTGCCCACACATAAGGACCCCTTGCTGGATTCTTGACCTTATTCTATGCCAGCATGTTCAACGCAGACGACGTGTGCAACAACGTCCACTCGCAGGCCAGGCGGATGATCATGGTGTCCCCTGAGCCCGACTTTTGGATACACGCAGTGCGTCTGGGTTTCGCAACCTCTGACCTCGCACGACGTTGATTCAGTAGGTTTAAGGGTATTGAAATTGCAAAGACGCCGCGACAGCCTGCCGATAAATCGAAGGGGAAGGGGAAGGAGAAGGCCAAGGGGGAGCAGCCGCTGCTGTACGATTACCACGAGCATTCCGTGCACGATGTCGCTGCCCAAGCAGATATCGTACGCGGGTACGAGAAGTTCAAGGTGGGGATTGCGTTTATGGCGCTGCGTCCTTGCTGAACTCTTCACCGAAGCTGAGGCATGGATCGTTTGCTTCCATTCTGTCCTCTCTGGGCCAAGAGGCCTTGGAACTACAACTAGAGAGATTCTTTACCGTCTGGGCATGGTCCTGGAATCTAGAAGATGGGCCCGAGTTCGGGGAACACCTCGGTTTGTTGCCGCCTCCACTTGGCTTCACAAAATTGACCTTCGTTTCAGGACCGCCACTACACCCCATGCAGGGCTTTCTACTTCCCCACATTGATGACTTCTCCTCCCGACTACCGGACGAGGTCGTCGCCATCGCCGTATCCCCGCCATACGTCATCCCCTCCACACGCTACACCGCACTGTCCTACCCGTCCGCCCTCCCCAACTTCCTGCTCTCCCTCCTCCCCCCACCCCAAAACCAGCAGCTCCCCCCGCCCACCACCGACGACAGCACCCTCCGCGCCGCACCCCCACTCCCTTCCGCCGCGCCCCGACCACACTTCGACGCCGCCCCCGCCCCCAAACCCAGCGCCAGCGCCGACGACGGCACCAAGACCTTCCTGGGCATGCACCTCGACGTGCACCTCGACATGCCCAAGTGGAACTGGCTCACGTTCGGGAAGAATTCCTCGAAGAAGGCGCCGGGGCTGCTGGCGGTGACGCCGGCGGTGGAGGCGGACCAGGGGGACTTCGCGGCGGCGGCGGCGGCGGGGAAGGCTGCGGCAGCGCAGGAGGGGGCGGGAGCAAGGCTGGGTGTGCCGCCGTTGGATACGGACACGCCGGGGTCGGAGAGCACGATAAACTTTGAGGTGGAGGTGGATCGGAGCGCGCTGGAGGATGCGATGTATTCTGAGCGGATACCGCTGGCCTCGTCCCCGCCGGTGGAGAAGGTGGATACTGACGTGCGCTCGTTGTCGGAGACGATTGTCCCGCCCAAGGACGAGAATGAGCACGCCGCTGAGGAGGCGGCTGTCGCAGATGCCGCGGAAGACGCTTTGACGCCAGAGGAGGTGCCCGCAGAAATCACCACGGAGCAATCCGAGCGCGCACTCCCTCCGGCACCAGAACCCGAGCCCGAGCCCGAGCCCGAGCCCGAACAGCCGCCTGCCGAGTTCGCGTCGACGACTGTGCACCTCTCCGACGCGGAGAACCCGCAGACGACAAAGCGCCGGCGACTGTTCTACCTCATTGTACGTGTATTCCATCTCCATCTATCCCATCCCATCACTCACTCCGACTCTAACTCCTCCTTCTCCCCATTCAATCTAGCGCGACCGCGTCCTCGTGGCACTCATCGACCTGGCCGACGCCGACCCCTTCACTCCGGACTCGGCGGAACTAGTGCCGCTGGCTCAGGACGCCGCCGGCCTCGCAGCGGCGCTCGCTACGGCCATGGAGGATGATGACATCGCGAAGAGGTACGCGCTTCGTCCCTTCAGCCTTCTCCCTCCGTATCAAATTCCAGAGTCGTTCCATCCTAATCTGACGTGTGTGTGCCTTCTTAGTGTCGACACGCTCCCCTCCGCGACGAAGATCCTGCAGCCGAAGGACCGGTACGCGCTCTCCGCTGCGGGGCTCGCAGTGCTCAGCCCAGAGTTCAAGTCGCGCTCGGGGCATCTGTATGCGGCGCGGCAGCGGCTGCTGGCTAGGTGGGTCTCGTTCGGCTTTGTCTTCATCCACCTGGAACTAATGACGATCTCGCAGCGACCCCACGATCTCGGAGGTCTTCTCGCGCGGGCAGAACCCGCAGCACTGGCACGTCGCGCGCCGCGCGGACGACGGCGCGGAGGAGGAGGAGGTGTACATGGAGGTGTTCCGCAAGGAGGCGAGCCTGACGGATGTGGATAACGCGCTTGCGGGGGTTGTACGGAAGAGTCGGCTTGCGCTGCAGCCTCAGAGTCAGGAATCTGGTTTGGAGGCAGGGGCGTAGGCGTGGTTTATATATGTACGTAGACCGAGGCGAGAGCTGACTTCATTTGTTTGTTTATTATCGAGTAGCCACTCATCTCATTTTCGCTTTTCGGAGTGTGTGTAATGTGTGCTTGTTGTGGCTATTCTCTAGCAATTGAGTTTGTGCACGCGTTTGGCTGGGTCTTCGCTTAAATTTTGCACTGCGTAGGCATCAATATATCACATCCTTTCACATTGTGGACCATACTATGTCTGGAAGCGTCGACCGGCCACGACCGAACCAAGTCTATTAAGTGTCCCCAACTGCTAATCGCTAACCAACACCATACGGTGGATACCAGTCGGCGCTGCGCTTGCCTTGAACTTCCTCGATGGGGGCCCAGAAGCGGGATTTTGAGGTTGTTTCCTCGATTGCATGGTGGTCTGACGAACGTTAGCAGTAATAGTCGACCTGACGAAGCAGCGAGGTGACGAGAGCGGATCCGACTCGGGCTTTGCCATTCTTACCGATGCGTTATCTTAACTTCGTAATTTTGGCTCTTCCAAACGAAACATAGTCCAGGGCAGTAGAAATATGAGCTCAGTGCGTTTAGAAAATAAAAGCCAAAAACATATGAACCACAGCTTGCTGCAGAGAGCCACTGCGTATTGTGATTCGACGCCGCCACCCACTGGATCATGATGAAGCCAGTGATTTAGAGCCGAAGCGCGAGCCGGCGAGCCCCTTCAGTCACGAGGGGATTCGAACCCCCGGCGACAGCCCGAGTCCGGGTTTTTTGGAAACGGGTAGCTTAACCACTGCACCAAGTGACCGCGGGATATGGAGGGATATTGACGAATATATGCCGATGAGTAACTTAAAGCCAGTGATTGCCTGTGGTTGAGCTTTGACGGAAAACTCGGAACGAATTTTCGAGGCCACGCTGCGAAACCTAATCGAGCTTTGCTGCAATGCAAGTCTATCCAAGTTCATCCTGCTTCGGGATTCTCAGGCTGTCGACGGCAATACGCTCTTTTGGGTAAAGATCTGCAGGGATCTGCGAAGATCTGCAGAATCGCGTCAGTGGCATTTGTGGCGATTCCCGTCCATCACAAATCACAACACCGCAGAAGTTGGCTTTACACTACGACATCTTCGGACACGCCCGCCATCCCACCCAGCACATTTTCCCGCCATGCCCGTTCTCGACGCAAGCTTGACCAAAGCGATTATGTCTCACCTGCACGATCCGCGCAATAAACCTTGTGGGCTCGCTGTGTTACCTGACTGGGCGTGGCCCAAAAGCTTCGAGAATTCAGACGCCAGCGACCCCGACTGCCTCAGCCCCGTCACGGACCGCGAGTACTTCTACCAGATCGGACTAGCGATCCTCAATCAGGCAATCTTTCTCATTTTGTTGGAGGACCTTAGAGGCATGCCCGCCGGGTATTCGCAGGTGAGCGAGTCGTCCTCTGATAGTTCTATTAATCTTACCCGTAAATTCCCTCGTACCAGGCCATCCAAGGTGCTGTAACCTCGGCGCCGATTCTCCGAATGATCATGGGCAAGATCGATCTCCGTCTGGTCGGCTACGTCAAGAACGTCGATAAAGGGTTCCAGATTTTTGTTGGATTGCATTGGCTCAAGTCGGGGGGTGATATGCCCAAACTTTTGCGGTGGCTCCAACCGATCTTTGAGCCATTGGTCTGGGTCGCTCGGGCAGCGTACATTGAATTGTGAGTGTCCTCCCATCGAACCACTGAGAGGTAGTACTCAACTATACTGTACGATTTCGACCAAGTATTCGCCCATTGTGACCTGTGACCATAAGTATTCATTTGCCATCAATTCATCAGCGGGCAGGACTTGTGACCCCAATTCCAAGTGTTCGTTTTCAAAGTATTAGAGCGTATTTGCAGCTCTCTAAAAGCCTTGAAATCACGAAAATGTCAAAAATTTGATGTCTGATCTCAGAAATATGTGACGACCAAAATGGGGACGGCAGAGCGGCAGAGAATCCAGAAGGCCGTCCAGAGGTTCAAAATTCCTTCCTTTTGGCCCGTTCTTTTTAGAGAGGCGAGTAATGAAGGTTACCAATGCATTCCTCCCCCTCCAGTGCAGTTCTCTGAGAGGCATACTCGAGGTAGAGCCCAAGCTCGTCACATCAGTCACTGGCCTCGGCTAAAATTGAGGGCTGATGGCAAAAATCTGAGAGGATGTGCAAATACGCTCTATTCATCGAGATTTGTGTGCGCTGCCGACCGGTTTTGCATGCAGTTCAAGCGGCGATTTGGAGTGGAGCGGTGCTGCAGAGGATACTGAACTTGACAAGAACTTGATGTCAACCCTGCCGACCTCCCGCTTGCTACTCGCCATGCAAAGAGGAATGCGAAAGCACCAAGTTGTTATGGTAGAGAGGACATGTGGGACCAAACTGTGTCGTAGACGACCCGATTTATGTACACTGTGCTCGATAATAGCGTGAAAATGATCCTACCATGCGCACAGTTGTGGATTCGGGGAGAAATTTTGAAATTTTAGCCCTCAAAGAAGTTTATTCAGCCAAGTATTCAATGGTCCCAGTGACCAGTGACATATTTACCAAGTATTCGATTCATTGAGCGCTGTGACCCGTGACCGAATACCCGGTCGAAATCGTACAGTATAGCGAGAAAAGTCGGAAGGTTTCGAACAAGAAAGGCGGCCCAGAACTACCTGTAGGAGGTGGCCCCAGACTACCCGCAGGCACGTCGACTGACTTGTAATCCCGAATATGATTTACCCCAAGTCTTACACAGACATGATCTTCCTCCTCAAACTGCGCCAACTCCAGAAAGAGGCGCCTGAGTCACCTTCGGCGAGTATATTTTAACGGCATATTTAACCATGCAATTGACAGGCCTCCTTCTCAGTTGGATTCTTCTTCGGACTCGTCAAACTGCACGTTCGAGCTGAGCGTCGGCAGGAACAGCTCGCCCTTCCGGCTTAAGACTGTCGTATGTTCTTCCTCGATCCTTAAGCAGAACACGTTCTAATTCCCACGAAACAGGAGCAGGACGCGATGGAGGGCTTTGTGCGTCGCTTCATTCATTTCTTACGCCAGGAATGGCTGATTGGAGCCTTTCAATAAGCTGCCTGCAATCTCTCTGACGACTTTTGTCTCCAATCACAGGGGCGTGGAGGCAGAAGAAATCCCCAGCCCTGGACTTTATTCTCGTGTACGCCTTTCAGATATTCTTGTGGTTTAGGCCTTGACGAAAAATCCAGGTCGCAAAGTCTATTGAAGGCCCCAAAGCCGGAACCAGCCCGCGGGGAGAAGACGAGGCTAGGTCGAGGTTGACATCGTACAAGGAGTACTTGGCCGTAAGTTCTATCTTTCAAACAGATTTCATGATAATCTGACGAAATTGCAGGACCTTTCTCCCCTCCGCCTGCCTCCCGTGCGTATCCTCCTGCTTTAAATCAGCCAGCTGGTCACATTTTCGCTTTAGATCACTGCTCGTCCCCCGCGCACCTTGACACGGGCTCGGGAGAGAAAGCGATGGGCTCAAGGTACGTCTTCTATACCTTAAAACTTTCCATACAGTTTAGAGCTTGATGAAACGTAGCTTGAGCGTGGCTTGGGTGAAGATGGGGCGGACTTCGCTTTTGAAGACTTTGTGGTTGTACGTTGAATCATGCAGACAAATTTCAACGCAATTTGACCAAACTTACAGCTGTCCCCCCTTCGCTTCTTTTCGCTCTCCGTGTGTACCCCCTTTTTTCGATACTGGGCCAATTCACTACATCTGTGCTTCCAATTTAGATCCCTGACCGCTCGGTCAATACCGCCAAGCCGTCGGAGCTCGCGAAAGGAAGCCATGGATCTCGAGTACAACTTCTTCCAAAGACTACATGCACTGTATACGCGCTTATCGCGGATCATTCAACAGTGGGACGGAGAAAATGTCCCTGCTATGGTACAGGGTGGGTCGCTGGCGCCGGCCTTTATGGTAGGTGGTATTTATTCTTACTTCTGTGGTGTACTGACAAGAACCAGTATAAGTCGCCGAAAGGCTACACAAAAACCTCGAAGGTCCCAGTAAGTTTCAATCTCCCTTCTTGGTAGTAACCGCGATAACCTTGCTCTCTTTCCTCTTTAGAGCCCTAGAGCTCACAAGAAAGCTGGCCTGGCGCCCGGGCGCAGCCCATTAACCCCGAGCAACTTCGGGATTAGGTTGTGAGAACGTTGGAGGTTGAGCTGAGCATGGTCATTGTTGTGAAATGTTGTACTTTTATTGTATAGTGTTCTTTCTTTTTCCTTAGAGCATCAATGTAATGTATCTGTATTTCTGGAATCATCTCTCGGGTCGGATAAAAAGGTAGCATTTTCAACCATAGTCAGTTCAACCAACGCCACAACACCGTTCGAAAATTATTGATCAGAGTGATGCGAGAAGCTCGACCGTAACAGATTGTGTGGATTTACAGGCGCAGTCCCGAGGGCCACAACCCGTTACGAGCATTGAAATCTGAACTCTCTTGGTCTGGGGGCAGTACCAACTTGGCATGTTGTGAGGTCTCCGAGTGTGCTACGCACCGCTCGTTGCCTCATGGCCTCTGCAGACCATCCAGCCACACAATGAAACAAGGTTGGGCATACACAACTGATCTTCCTAATCAGGCATCTACACTACCGGAAGCAGCTTCCGAGCACCTGTGTAGCCCAAAAAACCCCGCTAGTTAGTGGTGGATATGTATATGGTATCCCTCGCTAATTAGCGGGGGTTTAAGCCATAGAGGGTGGGCGCAATAATTACACACTAAATGATTGCTCGCCTACCTTGCTTAGAAGGAATTTCGTCGCTAATGGTCGCTAACGGTGGGCGGGGCATCTGCCCTCCCATCATTCCATCGCCGCTGCCATCAAAGATGGGCGGCAACGTCGTTGCACACCCCTCCCATCAATCCTATCAAAACCCCCGCCACTGCCGCCCATCTCACGCGTTTCGGCCGCAAAAATCAAGGCAAATTAGCGCAAAAATTGGGGTATATCCCTCGGGTATTGTATTGTCTATCCAAGTGTGCAATGTAATATACTACAGATCATGCGCCAAAGATTCAAGACTGTAGGCTGGGTGTGAACCATTATCAAATGTCTAAGAGCAAACAGCTGAGGCAACTATGACAGATAACATCTAAGATGAGCTGTTGACTGCACAGAGGCAACACCTTGACACTAACTGCTAAATGTAAAATTGAATAATCCAACAAGTGTTCCTTCTAGACGATTCAGTACTTTGGACTCCTTCACCGGTATTCTTTCTGTGAGATTGACTGTAGTTTGAATATCCCCAAAATGCTCGGATGTCGTTGAATGGTGTTTGACGGTCCTTAGCCATTATCCAAGACCAAAGCCCTCTCCGTTGCACATGCAGGCCGATACAAATGCATTTGAACCAAATTTGCGGCCCAGGGTTACATAGCTTCTTCTGTGAAGCTGCAAAGAGTATCAATGGACCCAGAACATTAAGAAATTCAGTACAATATGCAATTATGGGATTTCAGAATGCCCCCATGTCGAAAATATCCAAGTGCCAAATCAATTGTAAATGAGATAGTGGTGCCATGAGCTGGCTGTTGTGGCCACACAAATGTATGCAGAGAAGGTGCCAAAGGAGGACCCGGAGGAGTCTCTGTAGCTGGAAAAGCAGATAATGGTGGGAGGTGTTTATCTGGTGCAGTAGATGATCCCACTGACAGCGAAAATACATTTATTGCCTTTCAGACATGTATGAAACATCAGATTCAGTTGGCTTGAGTCAGCGTGGCATTGCAAGTATGAAGGGTTGTG